CGTGGAAAAATTTCAATTCGAGTCGAATATATTCGCTGCGAATTTAACTTATAAAAGGGTGTTTCTAGACTTCAGAGAGCCTTTATATTAGTGCAGAACACTGTACCTTTAATTTAAATGCCCTTGGAGTCTGCTGGGGAAGAGAAATAATACTGACAGTCAGTATGACATGCAGATGAGTGCCGTCGATCTTAGAATCACCGCACACTTCACTCATTTGGGCAGTCACGGGGCCAAAACCAGAGTGTGGAGCCACAGTGTGGCGGTGGAGGCAGCAGCAATGGGAGGCCATACAGCACCCTATGACAAAAATGGAAACCACCAGCAGTGTGAGGAGACCTGAAAGTGGCACATGGCAGAGTGTGGCGATGGAGACAGCAGCAATGGGAGGCCGTACAGGGACCCATGACACACTCTGGACCTGGCAGCAGCATGAGGAGGCGGTACAGGGGCCCATGACAGATTACGGGCCTGGCAGCAGCATGAGGAGTCGGTACGGGGGCCCATGACACACTCTGGACCTGGCAGCAGCATGAGGAGGCGGTACGGGGGCCCATGGCAGATTACGGGCCTGGCAGCAGCAATGGGAGGCCGTACAGGGACCCATGACACACTCTGGACCTGGCAGCAGCATGGGGAGGCGGTACAGGGGCCCATGACAGATTACGGGCCTGGCAGCAGCATGAGGAGTCGGTACGGGGGCCCATGACACACTCTGGACCTGGCAGCAGCATGAGGAGGCGGTACAGGGGCGCATGACAGATTACGAGCCTGGCAGCAGCAACTTGGACAGGAGGACGTTCAGCTTCTGCACCGTCGGGTGCGTGCTCGCAAACTGTTGTCTCTTGGAAACGGATTCCAAGAAAGACTGCTGACGGAATCCGTGAAGAGGAGTAGCAGGAGAAGGAGCATCTGAACGAGCGGAATATGCCAACAAGCGACAACAGGGGCCCATGACAGATTACGGGTAGAGATGAGCGAAGTATTCAAAAATTCGATTCGACTGATTCGGCGAATTCGTGGACAATATTCGATTCGAGTCGAATATATTCGCTGTGAATTTAACTTAAAAAAGGGTGTTTCTAGGCTTCAGAGAGACTTAATATTAGTGCAGAACACTGTACCTTTAATTTAAATGCCCTTGGAGTCTGCTGGGGAAGAGAAATAATACTGTCAGTCAGTATGACATGCAGATGAGTGCCGTCGATCTTAGAATCACCGCACACTTCACTCATTTGGCCAGTCACGGGGCCAAAACCAGTGTTTGGAGCCACAGTGTGGCGGTGGAGGCAGCAGCAATGGGAGGCCATACAGCAACCTATGACAAAATGGAAACCAGCAGGAGTGTGAGGAGACCTCAAAGTGGCACATGGCAGAGTGGGAGCAATGGGAGGCGGTACAGGGACCCATGTCACACTGTGGACCCAGCAGCAGCGTGACCAGGCGGTACGGGGGGCCCATGGCAGATTACAGGCCTGGCAGCAGCAATGGGAGGCCCGTAATCTGTCAGCACCCTATGACAAAAAATGGAAACACACCAGCAGTGTGAGGAGACCTGAAAGTGGCACATGGCAGAGTGTGGCGATGGAGACAGCAGCAATGGGAGGCCGTACAGGGACCCATGAGAGACTCTGGACCTGGCAGCAGCATGAGGAGGCGGTATAGGGGCCCATGGCAGATTAGGGGCCGGCAGCAGCTATGGGAGGCCCGTAATCTGCCAGCACCCTATGTCAAAAAATTCAAACACCAGCAGTGTGTGAGGAGACCTGAAAGTGGCACATGGCAGAGTGTGGCGATGGAGACAGCAGCAATGGGAGGCCGTACAGGGACCCATGAGAGACTCTGGACCTGGCAGCAGCATGAGGAGGCGGTATATAGGGGCCCATGGCAGATTAGGGGCCTGGCAGCAGCTATGGGAGGCCCGTAATCTGCCAGCACCCTATGTCAAAAAATTCAACACACCAGCAGTGTGAGGAGACCTGAAAGTGGCACATGGCATGGCAGAGTGTGGCGATGGAGACAGCAGCAATGGGAGGCCGTACAGGGACCCATGAGAGACTCTGGACTTGGCAGCAGCATGAGGAGGCGGTATAGGGGCCCATGGCAGATTAGGGGCCTGGCAGCAGCTATGGGAGGCCCGTAATCTGCCAGCACCCTATGACAAAAAATGGAACACACCAGCAGTGTGAGGAGACCTGAAAGTGGCACATGTTTGGGGCATGATTCATGGCGGATTTAGTCAGTTGTGTCAGGAACTGGTGGTTTGAAATCCAGACTAATCCACGCCTGATTCATTTTCACAAACGTGAGTCTCTCCACACTTTGGGTGGACAGTCGTGTCCTCCGCGGAGTTGCAATACCTCCTGCCGCACTAAACACGCGCTCCGATGCCACGCTACTGGCCGGGCATGACAGCCTTTCAAGGGCAAATTCAGCTAGTTGGGGCCAAAGGTCAAGTTTCGTTGCCCAGTAGTCAAGGGGATTGTCTACCTCGGTTGGCAGGGTGCTGTCCAAGTAGGCCTAAGCCTGTTGTTTGAGGTCCTGCTCCAGGTCCACCTGATGCTGCTGCTGCTGCTGCTGCGGCTGGTTATTAGTTTCCTCACTGCGCTGGTGAAGAAAGCTACTCATCATCGACTGCAGACTGAGGCAGCTGCTGCTGGTGGAGCTGCCACTGCTCCTACCACCCACCCCTCCCCTGCTGCCATGGCAGCGTAACGCGAGCGCACAGGGCCCACAGTGTCTGAGGATGGACGTTGGCGCAGACAGGCAGAGACCAGCTGACTACATAGGTGGTTTTTATAGTACGTTATTTTGGCCTCCCTCTCAGCAGGTGTGAAAAAGGCCACCATTTTTGAACGGTAGCGAGGGTCCAACAAGGTGGACAGCCAAAAGTCATCCCTCTGTCTGATGGTTATTATTCGGCTGTCGCTACGCAAGCAAGCGAGCATGCTATGGGCCATTTGTGCCAAGGAATGCGAGGGACTCCCTGCCTCCATCTCCACAGCATACTGCCACGGTGCGTCTGGGTCCTCTGTCTCCTCTTCCTCCTCCTCTACCAGATGCTCCTGCTCCTCCACTCCTGTCCGCTGAGTGGAAAAACCACCCATTTCACTCAATAATTCCTGAGCACCAATGTCCTCCTCTACCTCCTCCTCTTCTTCCTGTCCTGCCCCCACAGGGGGTCATGTGGCGTTGAGATCTGTGCGCCACGTCTACCGCACCCTGACCAGCCATTATTAACAGCATTTGTTCCAGGACGTGCAACAGAGGAATGACGTCGTTCATCCCATAGTCCTGCCGACTCACGAATAGCGTGGCCTCCTCAAAGGGCCTGAGCAAGCGCAGGTGTCACGCATGAGCTGCCAATGGCTGACATCTAAGTTACACAGGGAGTACCTTTATCCGCTTTTAACATCAGGAAATCTGTGATGGCCTTTTGCTGTTCGTAAAGGCGGTCTAACATATGTAGGGTTGAATTCCACCTTGTTGCAACGTCACAGCATGAGGAGTCGGTACGGGGGCCCATGGCAGATTACGGGCCTGGCAGCAGCAATGGGAGGCCCGTAATCTGCCAGCACCCTATGTCAAAAAATTCAACACACCAGCAGTGTGTGAGGAGACCTGAAAGTGGCACATGGCAGAGTGTGGCGATGGAGACAGCAGCAATGGGAGGCCGTACAGGGACCCATGAGAGACTCTGGACCTGGCAGCAGCATGAGGAGGCGGTATAGGGGCCCATGGCAGATTAGGGGCCTGGCAGCAGCTATGGGAGGCCCGTAATCTGCCAGCACCCTATGTCAAAAAATTCAAACACACCAGCAGTGTGAGGAGACCTGAAAGTGGCACATGGCAGAGTGTGGCGATGGAGACAGCAGCAATGGGAGGCCGTACAGGGACCCATGACAGACTCTGGACCTGGCAGCAGCATGAGGAGGCGGTATATAGGGGCCCATGGCAGATTAGGGGCCTGGCAGCAGCTATGGGAGGCCCGTAATCTGCCAGCACCCTATGTCAAAAAATTCAACACACCAGCAGTGTGAGGAGACCTGAAAGTGGCACATGGCATGGCGATGGAGACAGCAGCAATGGGAGGCCGTACAGGGACCATGGACTCTGGACCTGGCAGCAGCATGAGGAGGCGGTATAGGGGCCCATGGCAGATTAGGGGCCTGGCAGCAGCTATGGGAGGCCCGTAATCTGCCAGCACCCTATGTCAAAAAATTCAACACACCAGCAGTGTGTGAGGAGACCTGAAAGTGGCACATGGCAGAGTGTGGCGATGGAGACAGCAGCAATGGGAGGCCGTACAGGGACCCATGACAGACTCTGGACCTGGCAGCAGCATGAGGAGGCGGTATAGGGGCCCATGGCAGATTAGGGGCCTGGCAGCAGCTATGGGAGGCCCGTAATCTGCCAGCACCCTATGTCAAAAAATGGAACACACCAGCAGTGGTGAGGAGACCTGAAAGTGGCACATGGCAGAGTGTGGCGATGGAGACAGCAGCAATGGGAGGCCGTACAGGGACCCATGACAGACTCTGGACCTGACAGCACGCTGAGGAGGCGGTATATGGGCCCCCCATGGCAGATTAGGGGACCTGGCAGCAGCATAGGAGGCTACGTTTACTTCCTCGGGCGGCTATGACGAAAAAATTGCCACACCAGCCGAGTAGGAAACTTTGCCCCCGCTACTCCTGGCTGGCTGACTGCTAAAAACACCGGCACACTCTGGATGGCAGCAGCATACAGGGCCATGGCAGATTAGGGGCTGGCAGCAGCTATGGGTGCCCGTACTCCTGGCACCCTATTCCTCCAATTGAACACTGCTGCAGCAGTGCACATGGCAGAGTGTGGCGATGGAGACAGCAGCAATGGGAGGCCGTACAGGGACCCATGACAGACTCTGGACCTGGCAGCAGCATGAAGGCGGTACAGGGGCCCATGGCAGATTAGGGGCCTGGCAGCAGCTATGGGAGGCCCGTAATCTGCCAGCACCCTATGTCAAAAAATTCAACACACCAGCAGTGTGAGGAGACCTGAAAGTGGCACATGGCAGAGTGTGGCGATGGAGACAGCAGCAATGGGAGGCCGTACAGGGACCCATGAGAGACTCTGGACCTGGCAGCAGCATGAGGAGGCGGTATATAGGGGCCCATGGCAGATTAGGGGCCTGGCAGCAGCTATAGGAGGCCCGTAATCTGCCAGCACCCTATGTCAAAAAATTCAACACACCAGCAGTGTGAGGAGACCTGAAAGTGGCATGGCAGAGTGTGGCGATGGAGACAGCAGCAATGGGAGGCCGTACAGGGACCCATGACAGACTCTGGACCTGGCAGCAGCATGAGGAGGCGGTATATAGGGGCCCATGGCAGATTAGGGGCCTGGCAGCAGCTATGGGAGGCCCGTAATCTGCCAGCACCCTATGTCAAAAAATCAACACACCAGCAGTGTGTGAGGAGACCTGAAAGTGGCACATGGCAGAGTGTGGCGATGGAGACAGCAGCAATGGGAGGCCGTACAGGGACCCATGAGAGACTCTGGACTTGGCAGCAGCATGAGGAGGCGGTATATAGGGCCCATGGCAGATTAGGGGCCTGGCAGCAGCTATGGGAGGCCCGTAATCTGCCAGCACCCTATGTCAAAAAATGGAACACACCAGCAGTGTGTGAGGAGACCTGAAAGTGGCACATGGCAGAGTGACAGCAGCAATGGAGGCCGTACAGGGACCCTTGACAGACTCTGGATGGCAGCAGCATGAGAGGCGGTATATAGGGGCCCATGGGATTAGGGGCCTGGCAGCAGCTATGGGAGGCCCGTAATCTGCCAGCACCCTATGTCAAAAAATTGGAAACCACCATGGCAGCAGTGTGTGAGGAGACCTGAAGAGTGGCACATGGCAGAGTGTGGCGATGGAGATGGCAGCAATGGGAGGCCGTACAGGGACCCATGAGACTCTGGACTGGACCTGGCAGCAGCATGAGGAGGCGGTATAGGGGCCCATGGCAGATTAGGGGCCTGGCAGCAGCTATGGGAGGCCCGTAATCTGCCAGCACCCTATGTCAAAAAATTCAACACACCAGCAGTGTGTGAGGAGACCTGAAAGTGGCACATGGCAGAGTGTGGCGATGGAGACAGCAGCAATGGGAGGCCGTACAGGGACCCATGAGAGACTCTGGACTTGGCAGCAGCATGAGGAGGCGGTATATAGGGGCCCATGGCAGATTAGGGGCCTGGCAGCAGCTATGGGAGGCCCGTAATCTGCCAGCACCCTATGTCAAAAAATTCAACACACCAGCAGTGTGTGAGGAGACCTGAAAGTGGCACATGGCAGAGTGTGGCGATGGAGACAGCAGCAATGGGAGGCCGTACAGGGACCCATGAGAGACTCTGACTCTGGACTTGGCAGCAGCATGAGGAGGCGGTATATAGGGGCCCATGGCAGATTAGGGGCCTGGCAGCAGCTATAGGGGAGGCCCGTAATCTGCCAGCACCCTATGTCAAAAAATTCAACACACCAGCAGTGTGTGAGGAGACCTGAAAGTGGCACATGGCAGAGTGTGGCGATGGAGACAGCAGCAATGGGAGGCCGTACAGGGACCCATGAGAGACTCTGGACCTTGGCAGCAGCATGAGGAGGCGGTATATAGGGGCCCATGGCAGATTAGGGGCCTGGCAGCAGCTATGGGAGGCCCGTAATCTGCCAGCACCCTATGTCAAAAAATTCAACACACCAGCAGTGTGTGAGGAGACCTGAAAGTGGCACATGGCAGAGTGTGGCGATGGAGACAGCAGCAATGGGAGGCCGTACAGGGACCCATGAGAGACTCTGGACTTGGCAGCAGCATGAGGAGGCGGTATATAGGGGCCCATGGCAGATTAGGGGCCTGGCAGCAGCTATGGGAGGCCCGTAATCTGCCAGCACCCTATGTCAAAAAATTCAACACACCAGCAGTGTGTGAGGAGACCTGAAAGTGGCACATGGCAGAGTGTGGCGATGGAGACAGCAGCAATGGGAGGCCGTACAGGGACCCATGAGAGACTCTGGACCTGGCAGCAGCATGAGGAGGCGGTATATAGGGGCCCATGGCAGATTAGGGGCCCGCAGGGGTGGGGGAATGA